GCTACCACCCCCACCCCCCTATCCCAAAAAAAATGTAAAATAAGTTTCCTTTTAAATTAGTTTAAGTTATTTATAGGGTGACCAATAGATGATTGCCATGTCATTAATGAATTTATTAATTGAATTTAAATCGAGGACGGTTAGAAATAAGGGTAATATGGAGCCCAAAAGGGCTAATAGGTGGAAGAAGAGTAATTTTATATCATTTCTAATAGTTTGAGGATATTTTAGGTCCTTTTCCGTATTTTTAATAATAATTGGTCTTGTAAATTGTGAAGAAGATGGAATAGCGAAAAAGATGATATGAAAATTTAATGTCAGGGAAAGAATTCAACCTTCTGATTTTTATTATTGAGTTTTGTGTTATAAAATCTAAAGTCAAAGAGTCAAAAAACAGTTAATGCCAAAACCCCCCACCTCTCCCAGTTACTCCACCCTTTTAATAAAATTAAGTGTATGGATAGAAATTTTTATAAGAAGAATTATACAAAATAAGTAAACACACAAACGAAGTAAAAGAAAATTAATAGTGTCAACTACTATACAAAACAAGTAAACACAAAAAAGAAGTCAAAGAAATTTAATAGTTCCAACAACTTTCTTTGCTTCATTTATTTGATTCACGTTAACATGATATTTTTCTTTAAAAAATATATATTAAAAATTTATTTTACTAAATTAATCTTAATAATTATATTTTTAAATTTGACTATTAATATTTATATAGTTATTTAATGATAAAAATAGTATTGAAAGAAAATGATAAATTTTCTTTATTTGTTAAAATGAACAAGAAAAAAATATAATTTATTTATAAAAAAAATCAACTAAAATGAAATGAGAGTATATGGTAGATTATGAGTGTGTGTTTGTATACATTATGATGACTCTCTAGGTCATTTTCTCTGTTTTCCATATTTTTGTTGCTTAAAGTTTTTCTATAGCTACCCCAAGTCATGTATGACTTGCTGGGACTAACAGGACGATCACCAAGCAGTTTGTTTGGTTTTTGTGCAAGTTTCTAGGATTGGCGCTTTTAAAGTTTAGGTGTTTAACTTTGGTCAAAACTTCAAGTTGACAATCTCGAAATATATTTTCATTAGCTACACAATGTGAATTTTAGTCTAGATGGACCTTTAATTTGGGGTCGTGAAACTTCCAGACTCATTTCGTGGTTTTAGTTAAAATGGAGCTTGAGTTGTGGGCCACCCTTTTTGTCAAGACGACTTTCGATAGAAGTTTCGATGATTTCATTGAGTTTGAAATACCGTTTCTAGTTGGGTAGCATATTCAATTTGCGTTGGTTGGACCCCAAATGATTTTCGAGGGTCCGTTCGAGATTTAGAATTTTATTCTAAGTTTGTTGATGTAGCCGCTCATGCAGAGCTAAACTCGCTTCAGTGGATCTACTTCGGCGCTTTGCCAACCGCACCAACGAAAGTTGATGACATCGGCTGGTCTTGCTCCATCAGAGTCTCCTCTTCGAAGGAGCTGGTTGGTTTTGTTGACCATCGCTCCTGCGGAGCTTTCTCCGCACTAGCGACGTTACCCTTACGACCTCTGGTATGTTCGAAAGTGATCCCTAATAGTAATATCTCTTTTCTCTCTTCATTTTTCCATTGAAGGAAAAATAGTTGGAGCTTGGGTAACATATAATTTCTTTGAGAATTGAATGTTTTTGAGATGGGTTTAGCTTGGGAGCATTGTTGGAGTCGTTATTTACGCTTTGAAACCCATTATTCTTGTTAATTTGTCTATCTTGAGCTTGAATCAGATATTTTTTGCTACTTTGTATGGCTATTTTAGCTTCATTTATGCTTCGATTGTGCTCAACTTTGGGGCACGAGTTCCTTGAACTGGTGGAGACAATTTGGTGATTCTGCATATGGGTCCTACGAGCCCATTATTGACCTTATTTTAGGCTTGAGATTCTTTATTGCACTATAGGTATCGTTTTACTCGTATTGACACCTAGATCGCTGACTTGATAGCGTGAAATCATTCAAAGGTTGCTCGGAAAGGAAAAGCCCCATTTTAGTTGATTTTGTTGACATATGTTTAGGTTTTAGGTAGACTACAATTTACTAATCTTAGACTTAACTCATTGATTGTTTTAACATGATGAATTGCTAGTTTTTAAGCAGGGTTAGTTAGCATGAATTTTATTGATATCTATACTTCTTTGTTAGCCTTATTTCAGGTTTATTCGGGAATATTATACATATCCTTGAAGTTATTGATGTTACTTCCCCCGTGATCTGTGTATGTGATGGGATCACCTTGTTATTAATTAGGTAAGGCCTTAGCCTTGGGTTGGCTAGTGTATGCTTTAGACTTTAGCCTTGGTGGATCGTGTGGCTTAGGCTTGGCTTGGATTAGACTAGGGTTTATATGTGACCCTTCATGTTTGACTTTGACCTTCGAAAAGATTTTTATATTAGATTTTGGTCTAATTACGACATACTAGGTTATTAGTCTTGTACTAGATAATCTGATTCTCTTTGTGTGGTCGGATCCTCCTGATGTAAGATTCCAAGAAAAATCAACTCTTGTTGCAGCTATCCGGATGTAAGATTTGGAGATTTTTTCTACGGCTATCTCACTGTAAGATTGGGGTGATGCTAGATCTTGCCGTGGCTATCCCAATGTAAGATTTTGGGAGGTACTACTTATTTCGATGTAAGATTCCAGAAGATGGTAGGTTCTTACGGTTATCCCAGCATAAGATTCTAATAAAGGCTGACTTTTCTTGTAGCTATCATATTGTAGGACTCCGGAATGAGTTGTGCTTCTTTTATGACTTTCTCAATGTCAAATTTTGAGACATTCCCTATTTGAATTTCGACTGGCGTTTCATGATTGTTCATGGTTTAGTTCCTTATTAGTGTTAGCGCTTGTGTATACCCGTCGATCTTGTAGGGGCCTGATTGGGTTGTTTATTCTACTTGTTTTTTTGTGTGAACCTTCTAGGCTTATGAAGGTCCAAATATGGTATAGATAATTTGAAACACTTTAGTATCCTTTTACATATCCCCTTTTATAATTGATGATTTACATTTCGGTTAATGCACCATTCTACTGGCTTACGTACTGTTTTACTTACTTGCATTTCATTATGATTGTGCAATCTTGAGCTCAGTTGGTCTAGGATGCCTATTGGGTACCCATTATTTTGGTACTCATACTGCACTCTGCATTTCTTTTCCTTAATGTAGATATGAGTTTTAGTCGACCACATTGATTCTCGTGCAATGCAACTGATACTCGGAGATCACAGGTGAGCTTATTGCATCCTACGTTGACTCATCTCTTTATGTATACTTTGACTAGTTTTTATATTCCAAGATAATATGTATATTTGTCTATGTCTAGTCATGTACTCAGTCTTTTGTAGTAGTTTTGTACCAATGTCCACTAGGTTTTGAGATCAATTTTTTGCAACTGTTTGTCCTTATTCTATGTAGATTCATAAATGCCGGTTTACATGATTCTCCATTGTTATCTCTTATAATTGCCTTGTATCTTATCCTTGATGGTCTTTCTGCTCCCTAAGTCCATTATTTTTACTCCGGGCTAAGGATTGGCTTACATGGGAATTAGTAGGTACCATCATAGTTTGAGGTATATGGATTGTGACATAGATACACATATGCGCATGCGCGTGCGCAGACACACACAAGCGCACACACGCACGCACGCGCACACACACATGCACGCATGCACGCACGCGCGCACACACAAAGAGAGAGAGAGAGAGTTGACTTTTTCAAGAATGGGATTTAGTGAACCCATTAAACCACTAAGTGCTAGTATAAAATCTATAAATTTACTGTGTAGTGCAGATAATTATTAATTTAATTCTAGTAAAGAAGTAGATACAAAACAGATAGATATGAAGTATTTATATAGAGATGGTGGTCCTTCTTGATTTGACAGAAATACTTGAGGTTTTGAGGAGACATGAGAATTAGAAAACATGCGAAGATTTCTCTGGTGAATAACCGTGTTTGCCAACTCAACCAGTCGCCATGGGATGTCATCACTTTCCCCAATGAAGACCCATCACTTTTTCAGCCACCGCTGCCATCTTCTTCTAATTATCAGGTCTGTTAATTAATTAATTAATTAATCAATCAATTATTCTCTCTTGAATTCCTTAGATCTATAAATGCCCACTTTTTTCTTTGAATGTCGATCCTTCATTTTGTGTTTTTTTTTCTTTTCTGTTTTAGGGTTGTATGAATACCTATTTCCTTCTTTGAATGTCAATCTTTCCTTTTGTGTTTTTTTTTTTTTTTGGTTTTGGTTTTGTAACTCTCACTAGGGTTCACTATTGAATCTTAATTCCACCATCTCTACTGTATTTTTATTTGATTTTCGATATGGAATTTGCTCTATCATTTTAAAAATTGATAAGTTTTCTTTTCGGTGCAGTTTGTTGGATCTGTTGATAATGGGACCTTCAATGATACCGATGAAACTTCTGCGAGGTAAATTTGACTTCAAAATTAATTTGATTCATTTTTTAACTACAACATTTTATTTTCTTAATATATATATATATATCTTAGCGTCATGGCAATGAAAGTGAATTAAACAAAAAAGTTCAATTGTTCTAACTACTTCGACATTTATAGTGTTGTTGAGGACGTGGACGTCGATATTTCTTTTGCTGCTAAGACAATTAACCAAGACAAGGATGATGATTTAGAGATGAAGGAGCTAGGGTTATTAATGGACAAAAATAATAATGGTAACAAGAAACAAGAGAAGAAACATGATGTTGTAGTGGCGAAGACAGGAAGTTTGCGCCGTCTCCCAACTCGTGCTAAAAAATCATCATATTCCTCTTCCAATACTAATGATTTCTACTATTATTCGGGTTTTGGTCCATTATGGGGCAAGAAAAAGGGTGCAAGCAGGAAGACTATTCATCCTGCAACAAGTATCACTGGAAACAATTCAACCAAAAATGCTGAGCAATGTTCGTCATCCCAAATGGATAATGAAGAAATTAACTATGTTGAACTTGAAGACGAGGATGATCATCATGAAGAACAAAATGGGAAGAAGAAGAAGAAGAGATCACTAGAAGCCAATTAAAGTTAGGTTACTCAAATCTCTATTGTGAAACATATTTTGTCTGTTGGTATTTAAGTATTGAATATCATTAGAAAATCTTTGTTCGGATAATGTCATTTTTAGTGTTTGATAGACTATTTTGGTTTCATGGTTACAATCTTTTACTTCTAGAGATATTAGCTTCTTTAGACATGGATAATAATTTTTAGGTGTAATTTGTGTACACCCTATGCTATGCTGGTCAATTATTAAATATTGATAAAACTGTCATTTTTGTTATAAGGATAAATTAGTAATTTTAATGTTTAGGGCTTATTTCATTGGATATCTTTTTGTTTGAATTTTTATCTATATAATTTCCTAACTTTGTCTACCGCTTTGGCAAGTGGCCGCTACAAAATGGTCAATAAATAATTTTTTAATAATTTTTTTTTATCTTGTTTCGAGTCAAATACTCATAGTAATTATGAATGTTGTTAAAAGAAAGAATATATTTAATCATTTATAAACAATCGGGTAAAAATGATTTCTCTATCACGATCTACACCGTCGTGAGTGACATCCACACTAAATCACCTGGTGGAAAAACTAATGACTACCCGAAACCAACCCAACTCATCAATATTAAAATCAAGTCATGAAATAATTATTAAGAAAGCAATCTTTAAAACGAACTAATGAATTGAATCCCCATAAACTTAATCGATAGCCAAAAAAAGTTTATGTGGAAATAAAATCCTTAGAAACTGAAAGTCAGCATACAAAAATTCTAAATAGTCAAGATGGGGGATGCAACTCCGAAACTAAAAACCTAGAGTGTCTGTGTCCGAAAAGATGTCCAAGTAGATGCAGAAGAACTCCTAACAGCCTGAAAGAGTAGTTCATCCTTGGATTCAAAATCAAACATTATTAACTGAGTTCTCGGATCAACAGTTGGAAGATGCCCTATACTCAACAATAAAAGAATTAGTGCAATATCGATATACAAACCAAAGTGTACTAGTAGAATCAAAGAGCTACTCTAAGATATGAATGTAAACAGTTCACGACAAGGCAATAACACAAAACAATGCATATGACAAAAAATATCAAACACAAACTCCCAATCACATATCACTAAACAAAAGTACCTGGATGCATGTCCACATGATCACAAATACAAATGTTCGGTCCTCTCATGGAACCACAATTACATAAATGGTGAGAACACTCAAATCACCCTCCAAATCAATTAAAAAAGTGAGCGATTGTCGTCAGTAAAAAAACCCAATGAAGAGTCGAGGTCGATTCTCACAGGAAATGGTATATCGTAGAGAATTCCTTATCGAGAAATTTGAAATTTAAATTAGTTTATTTGTAATATTTAGAAAAATTGGGTGGATGGTACCACCAACCTAATAAAAAACTTTGGCTATCACTTATCGTAATTAACTAACATCTGAACGAAATCAAAAGTTAACAACAATCTAGGGGTGCGGGGATTAGAAATCAATGTCACATAGGGGTGATTGTGCTGCTCTATAGTGACAATATTCATGAATAGGCTAAGTCATCTTCATTGACACTAATCATCTTTCGATCTTAAAGCATTAATGCATAGAATCTACTTTCGGTCTCATCTACATGTCATTTCTAAACAACCCAATACCTTACTCTATTCTCTCTTTTAAGAATAGGGAAAATAGATCCGACCCATAACCTCTCTTTCAAGCAAGCCATAGACATCAACCTAAATTGATAGTATTAAACTAATTACCCACTCCAATTAATCTCTTTTGTGCATCAACCGGAGATCAGAAGTAGAAATTAAGTTTGCAACCTTAACCCATAAGTTAACCCTATGGTAATTAGACCAAATTCATGCATGAACAACAACAAAATAGAGCATAGTATAATACCCACAACATTAAATTAACACCTAACCCCATTTGAGCACCCCTAGATCTTGGGGTTTTAGCCATCCATCACAAAAAGTAAAGAAAGTACACCTTCCAGGAAAACAACCATGGGTAACTTGAAATCAAGCAATTAAGAGTAAACCCACTTGGGATTCAACTTTAATTTATCAAATTCAAGCTACAAATCGTAAAACCCCAAGAATTAGAAAGTGTTCTTCTCAAAGGTAAAATGTTATACTCATTATTCAACTCTCCTTGTTTAGTATCTGAATTCTCCAAAAAACTCTCTCAACTCTGAACTATCAACTCCTCTTTAAAAATTGTATCCTTTAGGCTATTTATACTTCCCTAAAATTTGTCCCAAAATCCACTTTATAACTGATTTAATGACATTAGTCGGGTTCGCCAAGCTTGATCGGTGACTCGACCTTCACTCCTCAACTTACCTTGTGATGCTCTAGGTTTCAGGTGTTTGAACCTCAGTTGGTGAACTTGATTGAGTGAGCCTTTCACTTTTGGCGAATAGACGAATACAACCTTAGTCTCCGTTGGAGCATTAAAAATTTTCCTTGCACACTGTCACTTTGGGTGATGTGCATCAGGACCACCGTTCTAACTCGACGCGTCGCCTTTTGTACTAGAGTTTGCCTACCTTCTTTGGTAGACACAAGTGTTATGCACTATCAATTTGGGAGATGTATTGCTTAGTCTGTGATCTACCTTTCATGTTAGGCGATCAACAATGTTCTCTTTACACTCTTTTGTTTATTTTTGTCCATTCTTTCACACATTAATCATTTCCTTGTCTAATTTCCTTCATAGTTGCAAATCATCAACATTTGATTAGAAAATGACAAATTCAGGCATTTAGGACACTAATTATTGAGCTAAATGAAACTTAATTGAGTGTAAATCTACCACTCATCAACACCCCAAACTTAAACTTTTGCTTGTCGTCAAGTAAGTCAATAACACAATAAGCTCAATAAGGGTGTATACAATAGTACTCAATGAGAGATAGCATGCAAGCGCCATAGCAAGATTACTCTCAATAGCATGTTACCCTAAATCATGAACAAAAAGCTTCAAATGATGACTAGCTAGTCTCAACACAAGCTCAAGCTCACTCAAGCTTCTTGTCTAATGCAAGAATATGTTTCAATAAATGCATTAAAGTTCCCTCACATTAAGAACAATTTCCATTTCTCACAAAGAAAATCAACAAAGGTAATAGGAATTAATGCAACTCTCACTCTCTCAGAAAAGAGACACATGAAAGCTTTATTCCATAGGTTTGCCCAAATTTTCCAATCATCACGCAACCTAGTTAAATACAAGATCTCAAGGGTCTTTTAGTCTTGTAATGGGGTTGATGGTTAAGGTATGATCAATTTGGACTGGTGACTTATACCTTTTAAAATCATTGTTGCAATAATCATCACCTCTTCTCAAATTCTTTTTATTCTTTTTCATTTAAGAACTCAAATCTTGACTTTCCACTCAATTTATTTGGAATCCCCCTTTATTTCATTCACTTATCTTTTTCATTTTCATTTTTTTCTTCAGTTATTTCCATCAAAATGATGATATATACACACCATTTCTTTTATAAGGAGGGGTCCCTTCTTTTTGCAAAACTTTCAGATTTTCGTCTCATTTCTTCTTTATTTTGCCCTTCACTTGGCTTTCATTCATCTTTAATTTACACACCCCAACTTAGGCTGGCCTAAGTTGGCTATGCAAACATCACAATGCTTCAAAAAGGATTTTTGGTACGAAGGTAGAGATAATTTGCTCAAGAGGCTTCTTTTGGTTGTCAACAAATAAGTTAGGCTCAATTGGTGCCAACATGGATTCACACCTCCACAAGCTAGTCACAAAAGGCTTTATGGATAATTCGGTTCCCTTATTGAATTTTTATCCAAGATCATGTCTCACATTCACTAAGATTCATACAATTTGACCGACAAGGCAAATCCTAGGATTCCACATGCATGCTTTCAAAAAGAAATCTCACCATGCATGGCACTTCGAACTACACTCATTTAGTATATCCGAAAAGATCAAAAGCTTACGTGCGATGGTCATTGTAAGGCTCACATCAAAACATAGCTAGTCAACAAAAGATTCAAAGAGCTTGCTCAAAGGTGTAACCACATTGATTTCATTCTCGCTACACCAATACTACACATCATGCTCATCATGAGTACTATTTAAGACATCGATATTGAACAAAATAGATTCTCAAATTGTTATCAATGAAAACTTCAAGTATTTCACGATTTGAACTCATGGGGGGTTGCAACATCAAAAGAGAACGAGATAGCAATAAAGAGACACACATTTACCCAAAAAAGCATTCTAATATAAACAAACATCAAACTATAATTGTTCAAAATATGAAATAACAAAATACAATAAAAAAGGGCAATATTGGCACGAAGGCCCTCACCCCACCAAAAATAGAATGTAGTGTCCTCAATGTAAAATAAGTAAGAATACTGGGAGCTGAGAGAAAGAGTCCCCCTAATATGCTATGCATGTGGTGCACTCTCATTTGGAGTCTCAGAGGTGAAGCCTCAAGAGGGGCATCAATGCTCGGTAATAGGATCACTAGAGGTGGCATGTCAGGCTCAACAAGGGCATCAATGCCCATCTCAGCAACATGAGGTATGGTAGAGTCTTAAGTGACTCCATTAGACCTAACCTATGAATTATCCCGAAGATATCTCTTCGGTGTAGCCTAAAGAATGACCTTCTCGGTCTCATGCAACTTGGTTAGTGTCTCAGCAATCCCGTGCTCTTCAGCTCTCAGCTCCTCCTCATTAGTCTCCTCAGACAACTCCTCATCGACCATCCCAGTCTCATCATCAACAACAATCTTAGCATCCACAACAACCTCAGAAACTGATAACGCTCAACTACACTTTATCCAATTCTAAGTGTAGGCGCAGTCACTAACAAGTATAAACCCAACTAAGAGTTGGAGTCGATCCCACATGGAGTGATACGGTAAAGAATTTGATTACGAAGTAGAATGGTGTTCTAATCGTTTGTAGATATAGATATTTCAGCAACAATAAAGTAAATGACAAGGGGTTGACAATTAATGTCAAATGGGGG